GTGTGTGTGTGTGTGTGTGTGTGTGTGTGATTGTCGAACTTGATGTGGAGCACCTTCTTACACAGGTATCTGGTTATCGTGGCCTTTTCCCATTTTTCTCTTGAGTTTTATATTTTCTTATTGATATGCCAGAGCTGCTTCTATATTAAGGGAATTAGATACCAAGGAACAAATCCGTCTTCTGTTTTTTTCTTCGCAGGGTGGCATGTATGTGTTTCAACTCTTTGACTACTATGCAGCTAGCGGTGTATGCCTTTTGTGGGTTGCATTCTTTGAATGTTTTGTTATTGCCTGGATATATGGTGAGTACTGGTTTTGCATATCCTTTCTCAAGTCTCTCCTTGGGTCTCTCTATTTAAAAGCTTCAGAAACAGAATTCTAGAGGGAATTTATTCTGAGTCTAACACAAAGGCCTCCCTACTTGGACTTTGTGTCCGAAGGCTGCCCCTTCCCTATGCAAATGATATTGTTGTAGCAACACTACAAATTCTCGCTGTGCTGAAGGTACAAGGTGTGACTGTTTTGACAAACAAATAACTTGGCCGTGCAGGGCCTATCTATGATTAACTACTCTAGGGTCCAGGAATAGTCCATCTGGACCTTCTTGAGACCTTGGATTGGTAACACTAGGATATGGGTTGGGTATGTATGCCTCAGGCGGCCGAAAAAATACAGGATGCCCAGTTACTTTTGAATTTTAGATAATTTCAGATAAACATCTGCCACATTTGGGTCTACGTGGTGTAAGATTTCAAGGACATGCATCAGGTCCCAGAGACCTCTCATGGCCCTTGAGCCCTTATTCTGCCATTCCCTGGGTGGATACTGGCATTGGACACTGTGTCACCATCTGTCTACCTCTGTCTCTTGCAGGCAGCGATAACTTTTATGATGGTATTGAGGACATGATCGGTTATCGGCCTGGGCCCTGGATGAAGTACAGCTGGGCTGTGGTCACTCCAGTTCTCTGTGTTGTGAGTTTTCTCCTGCCTGGCTGTGGGTAGTCGCCTTTTCTCATTCTGCCAAGTGCTGGCAAATGCATGTGACAAGTCTAGCGACAGCTGCTGGAAAGGAAGTAGAGCAGGCCGCCCAGAAGGTTACCTTGAGATGAGTTTTGAAGGATGAGTAGGAGCTTGTCAAGAAGAAAAAACGGGAAGGGCGTTTCTGGCGGAGGAACCAGCCTGCACAAAGGCAAAGCATTCTCCAAGAGGGAAATGTATTGGGGCATGTTGAGAAATTCAGGGGATCCACAATAGAGCATATAACCTTTCCCCAAACCCTTCCAGAGTTCCTGAGCCCAGTTTTAGTCACTGATTAAGGTGAGGGGCCATTGGGACATCCAAAGGAGAGATCACAGATATTGAAAATTTCCATGAAAGGGTGGGGGTTGTGGCTAGAGAGGGGACGTCCCAGTGGAGAGATGCTCTGGGCTCTCCCAAGAACAAGGAAGCTGCATACTCTCCCAGGACCCAAGGGTGGCGAGGTGCCATATTCCTCTTCCCACCAGGGTTCTCTCACCCACCATCTTGGAATGTGGCCAGGCACCCTCTCTGCTTTAAGGTTCTGTTAAGAGGCTCCAGCCAAAGGAAAATTCACTATAGCAAAAGTTGCTTTCCTGTCAGCGTTTGAACTTTGGAGCTAATTGCAGGGCAACACATCTGCTCTGCCGTTCTTGGCTCACACCTTAGGGAGCGCAAATGGCAGAAATGTTCCTTGCATTTAGGGACTATGGGCTGAGGAATAAATGGGCCCTCCCTCAGTGACCTCTGCTCCTAGACCAGAATAAGTCAGCATTGCCATTAACTCACTGTGTGACCTTAGATGAGTCCTTTCCCTCTGGGGCCCCTGTAAAATGAGGAGACTGATGTGAGATGTGAGTGGCAACTGACAGCCTGACATTGTTCCTTTTATCGTTTAATATGGTTGTGGCCTTTCCATCTGAGGTGCATATTTTCCCCATAAAAATAAGTAAACTATAGTAGCCAGGAACTATAACACTTGGTGAGTTTATTTTTGGAGGTGAATTTTGTTGGGTTTAAAGCCCATGTTCTCTTTCTCACTTGTGTGTTTGTGGGCAACCCCTCTCACCACTCTGGTTGTCAGTTTCTCCCCCCACCCCACCCCCACCAAGGAGTTGCATAGATTAGAAATAGGTTGCATTCCAAGGGGGTAAGTTGAAGTCACCCTAGTAGGAAGAGGAATGTGACAGGCAGGTGCAGGTCTCAGGCAGGTATGAAGCTTCCTCGTGCTGGGAGAGCTCAGAGCAGCCACCTCCTGGCACAAATATGGACAGAAACAGCAACAGGCAGGGCCAGGCATACAGCAGGTGCCCAGTGCAAGGCATCCGCAGCCTAACGCTCTCTCCTTTCCCTTGCCATCACTCCTCATATAGAAAACCCCAGTTTTTAGATCACGACGATTTAAGTCATTTTAACGTTGTGGATCATCTAACACTGCCTGGGTTATATTCTGAGATGCTATCATTCTGACCTGAGCAGGAACCCTGGGCCCTCTGGGCCAGCCTTATGTGGAACTGGGGACTTTGCAAAGGCTCTGGGGTGCCTCCTCACCCCACTCCACTGTTCATGGACACTAGTGGCCACTGGCCATTTGCGTGGGTTCAAGGCTGGGCTGTGGACAGCCAACAAGATGAGGGCCGGATCCATACCTTATTTGGGGGACTAAGCCTGGGACTCAGAGATGAGGACGTGCGTGGGTTCAAGGCTGGGCTGTGGACAGCCAACAGGATGAGGGCCGGGTCCATACCTTATTTGGGGGACTAAGCCTGGGGGCTCAGAGATGATGAAGACAGGTAGGGAGGGGAGGAATGGCTTTCATCCATGCAGCTAGCATTTATTGTGCACCTAGAACTCCACCAAGCGTTAGGGAAGGCAGGGGGACATACACCTCTCACCCTCACTGACTCAGGTTGGATGGGGGTGCTGCCTGCTGAAGAAGCAGTATAACCAACCATGCGCTTTCTGGGAAGGAAACGTATGGGGGGCTTAACTGAGTCTGGACAGGGCCTGGGCAAGCAAGGCAGGACTCTAGAGTTCAGTTAGGAGGAGGAGAAGGTGAGGGACAAAGAGGTCCAGTCAGAGAGAACAGCCTGGACTAAGGCCTCGGGGCCAGTGGCTGAGGAGCTGGGAGGCATTCAGGGTAGCTGGAGTGTAGATATAGAGGAAGAGGTGGGGGTAGGTGAGAGGAGAAGGGTCACAATTCTTGGTGACACTCTAGCCAGTCTGAGGAGCTTGCACTGCATTCTGTAGGCGCTGGGTAGCCACAGAGGGTTTTGAGCAGAAAAGTGACTTGGTCAGATTTGCACCGTGGAAGGTTCTTATGCTGCAGAGGGAAGGATATGAGGCCCTTTGGGTGGGGCCTGCCCTGGTCCCAGAAGCACCCCACACCCCAATGCCCAAGACCGTCCTGACTGCCCCATCTCTCCACAGGGATGTTTCATCTTCTCTCTCGTCAAGTACGTACCCCTGACCTACAACAAAGTGTACGTGTACCCCACCTGGGCTATCGGGCTCGGCTGGAGCCTGGCCCTGTCCTCCATGGTGTGTGTCCCCTTGGTCATGGTCATCCGCCTCTGCCAGACGGAAGGGCCGTTCCTTGTGGTGAGTACTCAGGGCCGCAGGCTGGATTGAGGGGGGTGGGGCAGGAGGCCGAAGGCCGGCCCGCTGTCAGTTTTCTGTGTGACCTCACACCCACGTCACTTGAGTCCTAGGCCCCTACCTGCCCCCACTGAGTGGTTGAGATTGTGGGCAGGAGGACGTATCATGGGAAAACTGGAACAGAGTACAGTTCACACGGGAGAAGGCTCTGGTGACATTCAGCGCAGGGCTGTGGCAGGAGGGGGAATCTGCCAAGCAGAGAATTCAAGATGGAAGAGTGTAGGGCATGGTACGGGGAGGTATGACCGCACTGGGGCCGCAGTGACACATTCTAGGGGTTGGGCGATGAGGCCGGAGAGGTGACAGCAGCTTTGGATGCCAAGCTAAGAGCTAGAGCTTTATCTTGGGAGCACTGGGGGCCGCGTTTCTGAAGTCGTGAGACAGGAGGCGAGGAGCCAGGGAGGAAGCCTCGGCTCCACCCAGGGGCCTTCCCTTATCCTGGAGCCAAGCTGCAGATAAGCCCAGTGCCCACGCTTTGGTCCCCGGTTCCAGATGTGGCCCCCTCGGCTGCCCAGCCCTCAGAAGCCACCTCTGCCCAAGGTAGAACCTCCAGCTTTCAGGCCTTTGTGCCTGCTGATCTCTTCCCCTGAGCTCCCCTCCCCGCTGCCACCTCCTCTCAGAAATTCCTGACAATACTGTAGATTCCAGGCCTGGCAAAAGCCGGAGCTCTTTCCAAGAAATCCTTTTCTTAGAATCTCCCTTTAACCTTTGGGCTTGGGCCCACTCCAAGACTGCACTGTTTTGTTCTGGGCTGTTTTTATTGTTATTCTCTTAAAAATCTGGAGCCAGGATGTCCTGGGGCTCTGGCTCCCCCTTGGGCTGGGCCGGTTTCCTTGTGGAGAATGGCCTGGAGGTATTGCTGGTGGGGGGAGTGGAAAGGCCGGGAAAGAAGGGACCAGCCTTCCCTCAACAGAGGAAGGAGGCAGGGGTGTGCCAGGGAAGAAAACATGAAGCAGAGCGTGCCTGAGCCAGCATGGCCTTGGAGTGTTCCTGCAGCATGGGGCCCATCGTCTTTTCTCAGAGGACACAGAGGGAAGGATCCCCGTGCTCAGCCAGAACACCGAATGGCCCTGTCACTTGTTAAAATAGTGAAATACTGGGCCTGAAATACTATTGCCCATCTGTACAATATTCTACAAATATTGTAGAGATGGGCAATAGCTAATACCCTGAGCCCTCCAGGCACCGGCTTATGTACCCCATGCCAACTCAGCCCCTCCCTGGGAACTTCTAGAATGTCCCTACCATCCAGAAACTGAAGGGTTAGTTAGAGGCATAGCAGAGGGGCTTGGATGTCTGTTCTGACTGGTCAGTACCTACAACAATTACATAGTTCACCCATGGTGGGATGGGGTTTCGAGGAAACACAATTCAACCGTGGGGGAGGGATGACCGGAGGACACCCATCAGGTCACTAACTTGTGTCCCTTTAAAGACTAATTTTTAAATATAGTTCTAGTCCCAGTTTAGAGTTTTAGTCAGAGTGAAGTTGGTGTGGAGGAAGAAGGAGGGGGCTGGGTGAGGAATCTACTCCACCTCGAACTTTCACCCCTTCTTCACCAAAAACCCTTCCCCCCTCCCCGCTCCCACCCCAAAGACAGTTGAGCCACCAGCCATCTATCTGTGCTGCGTGCTCCCTGGGGCTCCCACCTGCACAGGTTGCCACAGTGTCCTCCCAGCCATGAACATCTCTCCCAGACAGGTTTTGCAAACCAGGTCTCTGTCTTGGGAAGAGTCCAGTTGCATCTCATCTCCCACAGAAACGGAGCCCGGATGGCTGCCCCCGTGGCATTTGCCTCTTGTCCCACCTTCCGTGTGCAGACCCCATTTTATAGATGTGCAAAGAGGCCACTTTCCTGATGGCATCCCACCCCTCACCTTTTACCTTGGGGCCTCCAGTCTGTTCTTCCGGTGACCAGGCAGAGGAGGGAAGCCACTTGGGCAGGGCCAGGAGTGAGCTGGAGAAGGCGAAGGCGGTCTCCAGCAGGCAGCAATGCACTCAGCTCTGGCCAGCTGTTACCGAGAGGGAACATAGGCCTGGAGTTGCCAGATCTTGAAATTTTTAAAGAGGAGATGGAAATCTAGATTTTCAAATAAATATTGTAGCTTTTAATAAGCAGCTTAAAAGAACTGTTTACCTAAATATGCCTAGACTGAATGTAAATGCCCGGATAGAGAACTTCTTATTCACAACTGCTTTTTA